GGACAGGGACAGCACGGGGTTAGATACAGAGTAAAGCTCTCTCTACACTGCTCCCCATTTAAACACTCCCAGGGACAGGGACAGCACGGGGTTAGATACAGAGTAAAGCTCCCTGTAGCAAAAGCTGCTCAAGGGGATAAGGGAACCTTTTACTGCCCGCTCGTTGATCCTTCCTGTCCCACTACGACCAAGTGCCATACAGTGTGTGTTCCACCCTCTGCCCCTTGGGAAACGGGATGGTCCGGCCTCTGTGTCATAGAGCCGGAGAGATCTACAGCACACAGAAAGGCTCCTTCTCCACCATGGGTGTACCACTTTAAAAACAACAACTCTAATCCCATTTTCCAACACAGGACCCATAGCCCACTCTCTCAATGTTATGAGGGTTTCTGCTTCTACCACCCCTACAAGGCTAGCGAGTTTCAGATTCCCACCCCCCTGAGTGAAATAATTTTTCTTTGCATCTCGCCTAAACCCCCTGCCCCTTCCCTTAAATCTATGTCCTCTGCTCATCGATCCCTCTGTCAAGGGGAAAGGCTTTTTCCTCTCTGCCCTGTCTCTGCCCCGAGTAATTTAATACATTTCAATCGCGTCCTCTCTCAATTTCCTCTGCTCTTAAGGGAATCAGCCCCAAGTCTTTACTCGAGCGCAAGGTACATCCCGGTAAATCTCCTCTTGAATGCTTTCCCGCCCCTATCGCAGTGTGGATTCCAGAACTGCATGCAGTACTTTAGCTGTGAAATAACCAGCTTTTCATGGAGCCCATCTCAGTTCCAGCATCAGGTCTGTGAGGGGTTCGTATATTTGTCCCATGTCTGCATGAGTTTCCTCTGGGTGCTCCAGTTTCCTCCCACACTGCAGGGATGTGCAGGTTGTAGTGGATTGGCCGTGCTAAATTGTCCCGTAGTGCCCGGGATGTGAGGGTTAGGGTGGATTGACCGTGCTAAATTGTCCTGTAGTGCCCGGGGATTTGAGGGTTAGGGTGGATTGGCCGTGCTAAATTGTCCCGTAGTGCCCGGGAATGTGCAGGTTAGGGTGGATTGGCCGTGCTAAATTGTTCCGTAGTGCCCAGGGATGTGCGGGTTAGGGTGGATTGGCCGTGCTAAATTGTCCCTTAATGCCCAGGGATGTGTGAGTTATGGTGAATTAGCCGTGGGAAATGCAAGGTTACAGGGATAGGGTTGGGGCTGGGTCCCAGTGGGACATTCTTCGCTGGATCGGTGTGGACCTGATGGGCCGAATGGCTTGCTTCCACATTGTAGGGATACTATGATTAAGCCTAGCGTCCTGCCAATCTGGCAACTCTGGATCCTATCGAGTAATGGGCAGAGAAGTGGCAGATGGAGATTAATCCGGAGAAATGTGAGGTGATGCATTTTGGAAGGTCAGGTACAGGTGGAAATTTATACAGTGAATGGCAGAGGGATCTGGGTGTACAGGTCCACAGATCACTGAAGGTGGCAGCGCAGGTAGGTAAGGCAATAAAAATGGCCTATGGCATGCTTACTTTCATTGGAAGGGGCATTGAGTATAAGGAAAGACAAGTTATGCTGCAGCTTTATCGAACTTTATTTAGGTCACACTTGAAACATTGTGTACAGTTCTGGTCACCACACGACCAGAAGGATGTGGATGATTTGGAGAGAGTACAGAGAAGGTTTACCAGGATATTGCCTGGTAATGGGGGTGCGATTTTAGCTACGAAGAAAGGTTGGACAGACTGGGTTTGTTTTCACTGGAACGCAAGAGGCTGAGGGGGCGACACTGATAGAAGTTTATAAGATTGTGAATGGCAGGGATAGAGTGGAAAGTCTGAGGCTTTTTTCCCCAGGGCGGAGGGTCCAATTCCTCTGGGACACAGGTTAAAGGTGGGGGGATGTTTAAAAGAGATGTGCGAGGTAAATTTTTCACACAAAGGGTGGTGAGTGCCTGGAACACGCTGCCGGAGGAGATGGTTGAAGCAGACACAATAGCAGCATTCGCAAAACACCTGGATGAATACATGGATAGGAAGGATATAGAGGGATATGGATCCTGTAAGTGAAGACAGTTTCAGAGTAGAAGGGCAAAATGTGTCGGCGCAGGCTTGAAGGGCCGAAGGGCCTGTTCCTGTGCTGTATTGTTCTATGTGCTAGCTACATTTCCTTGGATCACATAGACTCTTTTGCTCAGAATCTCCCATGCAGGACTTTGTCAAAAGCCTTTGCTGAAGATTAGTGTACAGCATTGCTTATGTCTACACACCTGATCACCTCTTCGAAAAATTCGATCAAGTAGGTCAGACGTGATGTCCCCTTATCAAGAAAAGGTGCTGATTGTTCTTAATTAATATCCACGCCCAAACTGCAGGAGAATTCTATCCCTCAGAATTGCTTCCTCTCACTCCCCCATCACTGAGGTTAGTCTGTAGTTTTACAATTTATCTCTCCCTCTCTTCTTGAATAATGTTAGCAGCCCTCCAGTCCTCCTGCGGCCAGGAAGTAATTGAAAATTATTGCCAGTGATTTCCTTCCCCCCACCTTAATAATCGGGAAATGATTTCATCCAGCCCTGGAGGTTTATCCACTCTTAAACCTGCCAGACCGCTCAGAATGTCCCCTCTAACTACGTTAATTTATTCAAGTATATCACAGTCCTTCTGCCTGATTTCCATACCCATATCTTCCCTTGCACTAGGGAACAGTGACTCAAAATATTCTTATAGATCCTCCTTCCCTACAATAATTACCGCTATGGTCCTTAATGGGACCTCGTTATTCATTTTGCCTCAAAAAAACTTAGGATTTCTTTTCTTTAGTTTACCTGCCAGTCTCCTTTCATGTCTCTCCTTCGCTTTCCTAATCTCATTTTTTCCACGTTCCTGCCTCCTCTCGTTGCTATGAGCGCTCAGGATCTGCTATCGGCTTTGATTTTTCTTTGAATTCAATCCTGTGTGTCCCTGGATGGTCAGGGTTCGCTGGATTTGTGGGTGTTGGTCGGAGCTTGTTGACCCTCGTCTCTCTCTCTCTCTCGTCCCACTGCTCTGACAGATTTGCTGAAAACCATCAGATTTCAGGCTGAGCCGTACCCTTTCCGTAACTATCCTGAAGAATCTAACACAGTTCTGATCGCTATTCACACAACACTCCCCTGACTTGCTTCGTTATCTGAACCTAATTCCAGGACTCTTCCTCTTTTGTACAGTCTTCAACAGACTGGCTTAAAAATGTTTTCCTGGACGCATTTTTTTTTTTAAGAATTCCGCCCCTTCTAACCCTTTCACACCATGACTTCCACAGTCAATGCATCCTCAGGAGGCTAAGGAAATTCAGCACATCCATACAGACTCTTAGCAATGTTTTACACCACAGACAGCAATCTGCACGGATGCATACAGCTACAGCTTTGCCTGGAAACTATCGAGAGTTGTGAACACAGCCCAGTCCGCCTACGCTTCTTGCTGGCTCAGCAAGGCAGCCAACATCGAAGATCCCCTCCCACCCAGGTTATAATCTCTTCCAACCTCTTCCATCAGGCAGAAGATACAGAAGCTTAAAGACCCACACCATCAGATTCAAGAACAGCTTCTTCCCCAGCTGAAAGGACCCCTCAAATGTTAAATTTAACGCTGATCTCGCTGTTTGTGCACCTTCTCCACAGCATAACATTGTGTTCCTCGCTCTGTTCTATTACCCTTGTGGGGTATGATCTGCCTGTACCGCATGCAAAACAAAACTTCTCACTGTACCGAGGTACATGTGACAGTAATAAATCGAATCCACACCGGGATGGTTTGAAACAGACCTCGGTTTCTGCTTGGATGATTACAAACCTGTCTCTTTGCCAGGAAGGATAAACACGGTGACCCCCCCACCACCCACCGACAGGGGACATGGAGGTCAAAGGTTCCCTGATGACGATGGCGACTGGCAACGTCGGCATGACCAGTGAGTGAAGTCAAGGGGAGG